TGCTCTACCCCGGCCTGCCCTGTACCGCCGTCTCCCGCTCCATCTTCATCTCCATCTCCATCTCCTCCGAACTGTGCTGGCCGTAATGAGCCGCGGTCGTGGGGGTTGACTGTTTTTGCTAAATTGGAATCGTGGCTGCGAAGCAACATTATTTTTCATTGGGATTACATTTTTATCGCCGCGTCTGACAGGCGGCAGCAGTTGGCTGTCGTCTAACCTCCGCCCGGCCTCACCATCAGCTTCAGCCTCGTCAAAGCGGGGGAGCGAGCAACGAGAGTAATTCAAGGCATTCGAGCGTGATTTTTGCTGCTTAATAATGAGCTTGTTTGGTTTATTGAAGCGTTTTATTGCTGCCCGTTGCAATGGGAGGCGTGTGGCCAATAAGCTCCATCAGCTTAGCTGACGGGGTGTGAATCGTCCCCACATCAGCATAATGAATATCATAATGAGCTAATGTGCCAAAAATGCAAAACGAGCTGGGATCACAAAAGCAACATCGGAGAGCATGAATCGACAAAATAACTGACAGCCAGACACAAATTGAACCTGACGGCTTTATCAATAAGCGAACCGGTAGACAGCTGCTCCAAGGGGAAACGGAAACAAAAACGAATACGAATACGAATACGAAAACCCGAACGGAATGAGATGCGGAAGTACGCCCTGTCTGCCCTGCAATGGCGCATGAATATCTGATTAGCCGCCCTCTGTCTGCCTAAAAAATCCGAGCATCAGTCGATCAATCAATCAATCGGAAATGTGTCCATGTCAGAGCGCATAATTGAATGCGATGCAAATGCAATGTATCCAATTTGTGCTACAGTGAAGACTAGTCAATAGCGAACGAATATACTGAAACTGGGGTAGGGCATTTCCAAGGAAATTCAACTCTTATGGGCCCCTCTTAAAGTCAGGACTTCCGACTATTGAAGTCAACTATGCAAAGGCAATGTTCTGGGTGACACAAAGAATCAGTGAACTATTTAGTTTAGTTGGTTGTAAAAATGAAAAAAAGTTCTTAACGATATAATTGAATTAATAAAAGCTATGAGAGTGAGTGAATAATTGAACGAACTCTTCACATTCTTCAATGAATGATGAATTGTGTTCTACTGAATATGAGCTAGTTCATTGAATCGGACTAAAACCACTCGTTTCACTAAACTAATCCAACTAATGGGAGTGATGAATAAAACGAATGATATTCATGAACATGACCATTTGAACTAGTTCATCGGATTGAATAGAACCGTCAGCTTTTTACAAAGCCCCAGCTCCAGTTTAATTACTTAATTTGAGTTTCCCTAAAGCAATTTATTATAATTTACAGCCAGCTCTGAGGCTGTGCCTCTCCATTCCATTTCGCTCCGTTCAGTTCAGTTCAGTTCAGCTGAGTTGCCCTATTCAATCTGTCGTTTGTGGGAGCTAAGCTGGAGTTAGACAGGTTGTGGTTAATGTTATTCCTCGCAAAGACAACCGTGACACAGCAAACAATAACAACAACAACAACAACAACATTTCGAGGAAGAACAACAATTGAGCGGATGCTCAAATTGGTGCCACGTGCCCCCATTGTTCAGAGAGAGAGAGAGTCGGAGAGAAAGAGGAAGAGGGAGAGAGCTGTAGCTAGTTATAGTCCAAGTCTTGGCCAGATAATGAAAAAAGGATAATAAATTGCATTAGACGCCGGGTGCAGGGACACAGGACGCGAGACGCGGCACCACGCCACGCGTGCTGTGGTTTAGGTTGGGGTTGATGGGTGTTTAGACCGTTTTGCTTTTATCATGATTGTCGTAAAACCAGTTTTATTAATAACATTATGATTGCCATAAGTAGACGGGAACAATTCAACAAACGGATGACTCTATCCCCCTCGATCAGGTCTACAATCATTTTGAATTAGTTGCTGCTCTTTTTTATACCGTGAAGACAGGGTAGAGGCGTACTAGGCGGGGTAGTGGCGTACTGTTGGTAGAGTGGTAAACGCTCGGGTATCTGCCAGTCGGTCACTGCCAATTCGAGCCTACTTATTTGTTTCCTCTGGCATTTGTCATCGGATACATGAGTTGTGTCTGGGCTGCTCTATCTCACTTGACTAATAACGGAAATTGCCGTCTCGCTGGGCAACCGGAAGTGCTTACACACTCGACTTACAGTCCAACGAGTTTCACTTTAAAGGACATTCCGAAAATGAAGCCAGTGGAGGCTGAGTGTTGGGCTAAGTTGTGCTTGGGCCAGTTCTATTGCGTTGCCGATAGCAGATAGCGGAAGCCAATAAAAGCTTGATGGGCGTTCGCAAGCCGGATTTAGATAGCATGGGACCTTGATAGCTAGATAGATATGTAGATAGCCGGCAGCCTACGGGCTATTGCTCGGTATGTCATGCTGTCCGATTAGCTCCCAGCGCGAACGACAGCCTGCCAAGGCGTGCGATAAACCCTATTCTGCTGCCCTACTGTCAGTCCAGATAACCGATAGAGACTTACATTTTCTCTGGAATCTAGCTGAACACTTGAGTATGACAGTGATTAACTAGTTGTTCCATTTAGTCGATATCGAAGTCAACATCTTAGATTAGCGCAAAGAACAACACATTAGTCAGTAATTGTTATTTACTTACTTATAGCGCTTGATTCACCCTCGTGCCTGCGCAATTTCAAATATCACAATTTATTTTGGGCAGTGTATTTATAGCCCATCTAATCTAGACACCAAACATTTGGTTTCAGTTATGTTAATTTTTGTGTTTTAAAGGTATTCCTGAATCGTTATCTAATGACGTTTCCTTTCAAATTTCTTTGCAGGATGGAAAGACTCGATACTATCCATACCCAAGAAATGGCTCTCCACCGCGGAGTCTGTAGACGAATTTGGTTTCCCTGACGTGAGTTAACACAATTTTCGAATTTCTTTGCAGTTGACTTCAAATATTTGCTCAAGGCTCTACAAACTTGCTACTAGACTAATTCAAATACAAATACAAATACAGAGAAAGAGACAGAGACAGAGACGGAGTCGGAGACGGAGAGAGTGATAGAGACACACGCATAGAGACAGACTAATCCTGTTTGTTATAATTACAAATGCAAATAACGAGCGCTTTTGTATGGCAACCGTCGTCCTCTGGGGCAACCGGAACCGGGCACCAGACCCAGCCAGACAACCAGTCCACCGTACTTGTAAACAAACATCCCAAGGCCCCCAGCCGCAGCCCTCATCCCAAGCCCCGTCCCACACTCACCTGTAAAAGCACAGCAGCAACCCCCGAAAATACAGACACATACAGAGCTAGACAGAGAGAGAGGGAGAGAGAGAGAAAGGGAACAGGGAGAGAGGGCGAGTTGGACAAAAAAGAGAGATGTGTAGCAGCAACTCGACTTCTGTCTGAGTCAAATGACAAATGGAAAAGTTTCTGCATATTATAACTATTTCCTCAACTAACAGAGATATGCAAGTTTAAATACCCTACAAAAAATACAGAAGTAATAAACTTTAAGTTAGTTTTAAGTCTGAAACTGTACTAGAAGCATGCCTTTGGACCATTTGATACTCTTAGGGTATTTCAACTCAAAACATTCGAAGGAAACCATATCTAACCATATCCTTAGTAGCCGATCTATCTAGATGAATAGGTGCCCCGATTCACTTGCCTTGTGGATCAGCGATATTGCTAAAATGCGTATAAATACGACACACGGAAAATCAAATTTGATTTTAAACAAACTTAAGTTAAGTAATAATAAAGCCCACTCTAACAATGAGCAAAATAAATGCAGATCAACAGCTTACTAATTTGCAAGCAATGGAATGTTTCTAGGTTTTTATTTTAAGTTTTATCAAATTGGAAATTATTTAAATCGATTTTTGACTTGACGCGATTCACGAATCGATTGTGAGCTCCGCACGTTGTTTGCCCTTAAGAGAAATTGTGTGTGTTTGGCCACTAGGGATTCGGATGCTCAATGCTCGAGAGCTCAGCTGAGCAGAGCTCTTGATTCGAGTTGTCCGTGACTTGGCAAAATGCCGTGGGGGAAACCCAATGTCAGATTCATGCCCGTTCCCCACATTTCTTGCCCTATTTCCAGCATTTTTTTTACTTCTCGTTTTCTTTTTTGTGATTTGAAATTCGGGTCCCTGGGGTCTACGCTTTTTGTGTCCTTGCTTTTGTATTCTAACTGCCATAATGTCCCGCATATAAATGAGCTACGACACAAAAACTTTGAGCGCAAATACAATTTGACCGAAGCGCCAAAATATAAAAAGAAGGAAACGAAACGAAACGAAACCAAGAGAGAAAGTATGTGAACCCTTTTCTGTCTTTTCTACTTCTTCTTCAGACTCTACCAAAGATACCTGTCCCACCGCTGGAGCAGACCATGGCCGACTATGTGCTCGCCCTGGAGCCCATCACGACACCCGCTCAGTTGGAGAGAACCAAGGCCATCATCAAGCAGTTCGTGTCGCCGCAGGGCCTGGGACCTCGACTGCATCAGTACCTGGTGGATAAGCGCGAGGCGGAGGATAATTGGGTGAGTTCTGGTGCCAGATTGACTGACAAGTTTGACAACTGTTTGAGTGATTGACTTATAACCCGGCTGGTCACGAATACACAGACTCGTATTGAGCTCTAACTGATCGATCACGATTGATAACTGGCTGAGGCGGTGATTGACAGTGACTGAGTCAGTGTTAGATTGACTCAATAGATAACCGATAAGCAGACTGATCGACTAGCTAACGGCGACTGTGATGGGCGAGTGATTGATTGATGGAGAGGCAAGGCATAAATGATTGTATGTTATTCTCATATTCTCAAGAGAAACGTGACACATTTCTGATGATGAACACTAACGAATTCAACACGATTGATCACGATTACCAACTGATTGAGCGCCTGAGAAACTGTCTGTCTGATTGATCAACTGACTGTGCGCGCGCGAGTCCGCGAGAGTCATTGTCTCTCGTAATTTTGACAGTGGGTAATACTTGCACACCTGTGGGTTTCTATGCCATTGCACTGTGAATGTTTATTCAAATCCTACATCAATTCGCGCACTCAATTGTACATATACATTAATAGTGGTTAACGGTATACATATATAGGCATATATATGCATAGGTATACGGTATACATATATAGATCGGTTATTCAGATTATTCAACATATGGCGGTTCAGGGACGAGGGTGCCGACTGTTGGTTCTGGAGTAGGTGGAGCGGGTACATTGGGATCGTTGGGAGATGGGGGCTGTGGCACAAAGATGGTAGTGCCGGTTGGCAAATCGCCACCTGGGAGGGTGGTCTGGCCGGGAGCCGCTGTCGTATCACCCGGTAGGGTAGGCGCTGTCGGTCCGGGATTCGCTGTGGTTGGCTTCGTCGTGCCTGGTTTGGTTGTCTTGACAGTCGTACCACCTGTAGTCTTAGATGTTGGCGCTGCTGTCGAGCCCGACGGTGCCGTGGTGCCACCAGAATTGATTTTCTCGCACTTGAGGCCCAATTTATTCTGTGAGCACTCAACGGCGGGTATGTAGTTGGCGCATGTGGAGCACTCCTGCAGCACATAGCTGAAGTAGCTCCTGGGCGGTTCGCATTTCAGCAGCACAGGCGTGGGCTTGGCGGTTGAGCTGCCTGTGCTGCAGGAATAATAGGTGGTTGGGTCTGCGTAGTTGGGCAACTTGATGCGCGTATTCGCCTGGCACACGGGCACAATATTCTCGGTGTAGACGGGTGTGGGGCAGTTATCCTGTGCCTGGATGCCAATGGCCAGCAGTCCAACGACTGCGATTAGAACTGAAAAGCAGATGGATCCAGCATTAGGCCTGAGGAGCGTCTCCTGCTTCTGCCATGCTTACCTTGTTTCATTGTTGCTGTTGCTGTTGCTGCTGCTGCTGCTGCTTGAGGCGTCTCGCTGCTTTCCTATCGCTGCAATCACTGCTCTAGCCCTGCCTGGGGCAAAGCCTTTTATGGCCCGATCGGCGAGCTGTCAAAGACACCCGTAATCAGCTCGAGCAACACGTCTAGATTAATATTCTTGTTGCGCTTGTCATTCTGCCAAAATTAAAAGTGAATTGAAGCCGCATTGCGATCGCACGCCCATGTAACCTGGGTAATCTATGCCATATCTGCCCTGGTCCGATAAGAGCCAAACAAATTTTCACTAATTATTGAATAATCGTTCAAAGCACAGTGTGCACACCCTTAACCATGGCACTTAGCATAGCCGAGCCCGAGCAGGCCAGCGGGGCAACAGCCTCTCTGTGCAGGGTAGCTCATATCTACAGTATTTCCCCGCGTGTTCGTATCACTTGACTTTATTTCTGTATTTCTTCGGAAATACACAGAAGAACGGAAGCTCTATAGCGAAATTCCATTTGAGGTGATCTTCCACTTAATTGAACCCAAGGATCGAATGTTCGTTCGCTAATGTTCCGATAACGATAGCGAGCCATTGCTCAACAGCGCGTAATTATGTAAGCACAGCCTCGGATTGCGAGCAACTAGTGAAACGGGAATTGATTACATTTTCTATATAATCGATGAACCTCTCGCGAAGCACATGAAAGACTTTACGCCATATAAGATAAGGCCTTTGAATGGAGAACTAAGTTATCTTCGATTTAGTTATTATTATTATATATCAAATAGCACTTATTTACTCGAACTACTCTCAGTATATGCTATAGCTGTTAAATATGATTTGTATTTGACATTTGGAAGTGTCCGACATTTTGATTTATTGGGGTATGAAAATCGTTTTATAGTACAGTAATTATAGAGTTGCCGACAAGCCGGAACAGGGTAGCTGCTGATCAGTCAACATTACTATATAAGGATATAGTACTAGTTGGCAAAATTACGTGATATCTGCGAGTGAGCATGCATCCCAAAAATGGAAGAGGTATCTACTAGTCTAAAATGGCCTACTATTAAAGTCTTAACCAGTAGAATTTGTCTCTTTTACGTTCAAATATAATAAAACAACAGTGCATACCAAAAGTGTTCAGTCTTCCTGATTGAGGGAAAACCAACACCAGCAATATTCATATACAGAAAGGTGTCTATGCTAGTCGAGCATGCCTCACAAGTAATATTCGCACATTGCGAAGTATCTGCTAGTCGAGCATGCCTCGCTAGTAAGGGCATTTCTTCGCATCTGAAGGAATGCCATCAGTCGTCATATTATTAACTACAGCTAATTAGTTAGATGGCATCCTCATAAGTGCGAGGTATCTGCTAGTCGAGCGTGCATAAAGTAGTGAACATTCCTAGGCTGAATTCTTGGCATGTTCCATTTACAATTATTAATCAATTAAAAGTGTTAACTGGCATCGATATGTTCCGACAAGGTCAATTAGCTAATTGATTCATTCAGAGACTCACCAGAGACTCAAGTATGTGTGTGTCCGTATGTGTGCGTATGTGAGTGGATGGGCCCCATGTTATTTTGGAGTCACATACTCCCCAAAGCCATAGACAAGAGGAGTTATTTGTGCAGTTAGATATTTATTTAGTTGTTATTTTAGAGTTCTGAATGAAATTCCGCTTGCTGAACATTAATTTAGTTGTCGACTGGCTCCGGGAAAGGGGGTGGAGCGAGGCGTTAGGCTGAGGGCTTGGTGGATGGCTTCTTCTGGGCCTTGTTGGGCGGCGTTGGTTTCTTACCAGCCTTGGGCGGAGATGGAGCGGCGGGCTTCTTGGCCGCGGCGGCCTTGGCGGGTGTTGGGGCTGAGCTGGTCTTCTTGTGGGGCTGTGGGGCGGCGGGCTTCTTGCCAGGCTTGGGGGCATCGAGCACAACGGTGGGTGGAGTTGGTGGCTCGGTGGGTGGTGTGGGGGGTGTGGGATCGAGTGGCGAAGCGTGAACGACCTGCATATGCTCCGGCTCCAGCTCGTGCTCGTGGCCGAGCATGTGAACGGGTCCATTGGGAGCCATCATTGGTGGCACCTCGTTGACGACGTGCGTGGTAATGGGCGCATCGGTGGGCAGCACATCCATGGGTGGCGCTGGCACATACAGAGCCGGCGCGGCGCACTGCTGCAGCACGAAGGTGAAGACCTCACCGGGCGGACAGTGCACGGTCAGCTGGTTGCCATAGATGCTCTGGCAGACGTAGTACTCGGAGTTGCTGAAGTAGCTCGGCCAGCGTATGCCCACCTCCTCGCGGGTGCACTGCAGCTTGTAGTCGAGGCGCGCTTGCGCCAAAGCCGCCAGGCTGAGCAAAGTAAGAGCGAACACTGCAATCGAGATTGAGAGCAAGATTGATGATTGATTGAGTGATTGTGTGATTGTGTGATTGATGACCAAGCTGTTGCTCACCTTTCATCTTGTTGGGGCTGCGGGTTGTCACTGGGTATCCGTCTGGTTTAGATGAAACTGCTGTACTGATGTTGTCTAGTTGCCCTAGGCGTTTTATATAGTGCATCTTATCGCAGATCTGCGATCTCCCAAATGTGATCTCTGTTCTGCCTTATCAGTGTACCCTTCGCACTGGGCTCGATAAGAGGCGCACCCAAGCACCCAAGCAGCCAAGTGCCCAGCCCCGATGTTGTTTTTTCCAGCTAATTAAGTTTGTATCTCGTGTGTTAATAATGCGCTTTCCATGTACTCCACTCCACGCCACGCCACGCTCCGACAGGCCTACTACTACTGGCTCAACGACATGTACATGAACGTGCGCTTGCCCTTGCCGATCAACTCGAATCCTGGCACCGTCTTTCCGCAGCGCCACTTCAGGACCGTCCACGACGTGGCCCACTTTGCGGCGCGGCTGCTGGACGGCCTGGTCGAGCACAAGGAGATGCTGGAGAGTGGACAGCTGCCGCAGGAGAGGGCTGCCTCCAGGGAGAAGAACCAGCCGCTCTGCATGGCCCAATACTACCGCCTGCTGGGCTCCTGCCGTCGTCCGGGCGTCGAGCGCGACTCCCAGTACTTGCCCAGCCGACAGAAGCCCATCGACAGCGACGAGGACCGCCACGTGGTGGTCATCTGCCGCAATCAGATGTACTGCGTGGTGCTGCAGGCCAGCGATCGCGGCAAGCTCACCGAGAGCGAGATCGCCTCCCAGATACTCTACGTGCTCAGCGACGCGCCCTGCCTGCCGGGCAAGCCGTTGCCCGTCGGCCTGTTGACAGCCGAGCCGCGTTCCCAGTGGGCCGTGGACCGTGAGGCGCTGCAGTTGGATGAGCGCAACCAGCGGAACCTGGAGCTGATCGAAACGGCGCTGGTGGTGCTCTGCTTGGACGAGCCGTTGAACACCAATTTCAATGCACGCGGCTTCAGCGGTGCCACGCCCAGCGTCCACACCGCCGGCGATCGGGATGAGACGAACATGGCTCACGAAATGCTCCATGGCGGAGGCAGCGAATTCAACTCGGCCAATCGCTGGTTCGACAAGACCATGCAGGTGACTTTACCCCCTCCATCCGCTCGCCTCACCTTCAGCTAACCTATTTATCATTACGAACCAGCTCATCATCTGCACCGACGGCAGCTGGGGCCTCTGCTACGAGCACTCGACCTCCGAGGGCATCGCTGTCGTCCAGCTGCTGGAGAAGGTGTACAAGAAGATTGAAGAGCATCCGCAGGAAGACAACGGCGTGCCCCAGCATCATTTGCCGCCCCCGGAGCGCCTCGAGTGGCATGTGAACGACAAGTTGCAGCAGCGCTTCGTCCAGGCTGCCAAGTCGGTGGACCGGGCCATTGACAATCTGGATTTCTATGTCTATCGCTACAAGGGCTACGGCAAGAACTTTGTCAAGTCCTGCCAGGTTAGCCCGGACGTGTACATACAGCTGGCCCTCCAGCTCGCCTACTACAAGTGAGTACCGCAAGCTAAGGCAAAGCAAGCCGAGCTGCCGTGGATCCTTCGAGATCCCTTTCGCCAATATAAGGAATAAAGAGTAATTCGTAACGCTGTTATTGCCTTTCAGACTTTATGGCCATTTGGTGGCCACCTATGAGAGTGCTTCCACCAGGCGCTTCCTGCTCGTAAGTGTTCAGCTGTCGATTGATCTATCGATCTATGCTCTATCCATTTGTAACTCCCCTTGATTTGGCAGGGTCGTGTGGATTGCATACGTGCTGCCAGCACCGAGGCGCTGGAGTGGGCCAAGGCGATGTGTCAGGGCGAGGGGGCCAACGTTCCACTGGAGAGCGACCGCGAGGAGGACGAAGAGGACGCTCGCAAAGTCAAATTTAGCATTTATAGCGTGAGTATTCCCAGTCCAGTCCTAGTTCCATATGGGTAACCGCTCTCCTTTCACAGAAGGATCATCTGCGTGAGCTGTTCCGCTGCGCCGTCGCCCGGCAGACGGAGGTGATGGTCAAGAACATTCTGGGCAACGGCATCGACATACCACTGCTGGGGCTGCGCGAGGCCTCTGTGGAGGTCACTGGGGAGCTGCACGAGCTCTTCACGGATGAGTCCTACAAGATATCGCAATGCTTTCTGCTCTCCACCAGCCAGGTATCCAATCCGTCGCACTCTCTGTCTCATTGTCTGCCACCACGCACCGAGCACCTTTCATTCATTCTATTGTCTCTGCACCACATTTGTCTTAATGCTTAGCTTTTGCACCACCAAGAACAGCACCAGCACCAGCACCAGCACCAGCACCAGTACCTAAAGCACGTAAGCCACTTAGCTTTAAGCTGCTCCGCCATCCGACTGCCCTCTGATATGATCTTGAGTGATCTTCGTGCTGTTTGGCTCTTCCGTACGCAGGTCGCCTTCACTACGGACAGCTTCATGGGCTATGGCCCGGTCACGCCTCGGGGCTACGGCTGCTCCTATAATCCGCACCCCGATCAAATTGTCTTCTGCGTGTCCGCGTTCTACGACTGCGAGGATACGAGCGCCTCTCGTTATGCCAAATCCCTGCAAGACTCGCTCGACATCATGCGCGACCTTCTGCAAAATTAAATGCAATATGAATAGTGGAAAATGGAAATTGGAGCGTGGATGAGATTTAAAAAATGGGACGTGATACGTAGACGTGGAACGTGAAACAGGAATGGAATGCAGCGAAAAGACAAGGAAACTTAGAAAACGAAGCGGAACCAAAGCATACATATCACATCGGCTTCAAAACTAAATGATAAATAATGAAAGGTGGAACGGACGAAAATGAAACACAACAAAACAAACATATCAATAACTGTACCTTAGCAAACAATTTGTCCAAAACAAATATATCCGCAAGGAAATCCCAAACTATACAAATACGATAAAAAGACGAAGAATAACTATTTCGGTTATACCGACTATTAAATACCCTTGGAGAGAGGAATGGCGATAGAAGAGAATCATATGAACTTGATCTATGTAGTTAGGTCATATTGGAACTATAAGGTATAGAGATCCGATTCAGGTATTCATACACAACCATTCATATTCAACCACACCCCATCCCATGAAACACTCTCCTTGTGACTAAAGCCAACATCGACTACCTCTGCAAGGGTATCAAAAGTAACCTATATATATGTAAACAGTAGTTAACTAGCGTCCACATGACGTCATCTGTTTATGAGCGAAAGAGAATATATATATAATATATACTGCTAGTGTTGTAAAACTCATTTCAATCAACACCATTCCGGTTGAGCGAAGCCACTCAATCTAAAGTCAATCATCTGTTAATCCCTCTGCTTTCACCCAAGCTAAAAAATATACTTAGTAGATGACAAAGAGAAACTCTGGTCAATTAAATGTTTTAGAGCAATTTTATGCGCAATCGTTAGTGCTGTTAAATGATTCAAATAAATATATATACATATGTGTTGGTTAATTATGCAATTGATTGTTGTGTTAGCTTAGCTGTGTTAGAGCTTTCCCAAACGAATTTGAGTGAGCAGTACACTTTAAAGTGGCGGCCAGTGTAGTGCAAGTAGAGGCGTCCGAATGAAGTGGCCTATTGGTGTGGACGCCACTGTAGCGAGACACTTAAATAGGCCAAATGCCAGGAACAGACCCAGCTCACAGAGGCGCCACTTTCTATTAATACGAACCTGGTCTATTGATACGGACGCCACTGTAGCGTTCCGCTCAAAAGTATGCAATACTTTCTATGTTATGTTTGCTATGTAGAGAAATGTTATGAAAATTATTGAAATTAGAAATTATTAAATGATATCCGATATAAACATATATATATATATATAACTGTTAACTATCTTTCTGTTGCTGTTTCATACAAAATACATATACTTGAATATAGGCACTATCTTAAACTATATGCTTTACCTAATTATTGTTGCTGTTAATGTTTGTTTTACGTAAAAACTAAAAGAAGCGAGACAAAAACAAGAATAGAAAATCATTGTACGTATATAGACTTGAATTGTAACAATACATATCAATAAATTTATATAAAGTATTTACCAAATGCAAAACATATCAAATAAACGAAACGAATATTAGATATATCTATATATACACATATATGTATGTTTACCCATAACTGTTCTATGGCTAAAAGATAAAAAGAAAAATAGGAAATACTATATACCATACTATATACCATGTTATACACAACTGAAAATTCTTATATATGAAAATGTTAAAGCGAGCAAATGCATATATTGATAAATACTCTAACTAGTTGCTGTGTTCATTGTTGCTATTATTATTACTATTATTATTATTAGTACTATTATTATACGTGTATCTGTGTTAAAAGCGGTTAAAGAACAATCCCAATCTACAGCTGTACTACAGACCTAAGTTCCATTTGAGTTGATTGTTAATGCATGCAAAAAGAGATCACTAAAGAAAAATAAATGAGAATTGACTCGAATCCTTATCTGACCTATATATAGAAACATATATATATACATATAGATATATGTATATATGTGGATAGGTGGGGTATTTGTCATAGTTGCCTGGGTTTTCGCTGGTTTCTAAGAAAAGTCGCATATCCAATATTGCGTTCGTGATAAGCCACAATCCAGGAGATAAGCTTTTGATTAATTTTTTTGGGTTTATTTTGAGGAATTAATTAAAAAGCAGAGCAAAAAAAATAGTTTCGTTGAAGCCCATAAAAGACGCAATCGAACTTCTGCTGGAAAACATTCCGCACTCAATTGTCCATCGAAACACAATGAAGCGTAAGTCTCGTCCGTCATTGGGCTAAGAGAAAAGGATTTTAAAGGATTTCTTCAATTTGCAGTTCTCCACTTGCTGCTGAGCCTTTGCCTGGCCTTCCTGCTGTGCGCTGCGCCGCTGATCCAGGCACAGACGGTGCCACCCATTCCAACAGCGGCGCCAACACCACCTAACGGTATCGGTAACGGCAACGGCGATGGTAAGGTTCCAGCGCCCCCTACTGTGCCAACCACCGTGGAGGCACCCCCAAGCAGCACTGCGTACCCGAATTACGCTGGATAAACGTAGTGTAGAGCATTCGCCAGTCGGCTACTGTAACAGTTTATAAATAAATATTCGCAATGCATTCGCAAAGGCCCATTACATATTTCGATATTTCATTGGATATATTTATTGTCCGATAATAAAACTAGGCGTAACTGGACCTTTGGTCGTCTTCACATTAATTATACAGTTACACGTACATATACACATACACATACATATCGTACACAAGACACAACACATGCAAAGGTGCACAGGAGAACTGAATTAGCTCTGCGCCATGTTGCGTCGAAACGATCCGCGCATCTGCGCCTGCAGCTGCTCGCTGTTGCCCTCCTCGTCCCGGCCAGACTGCAATCGACAGGGAGACATCGAGACTAGTTAGCTTCACCCGTCAGATGAAATATATGTATATAGTCTTACCTTGCAAAAGTTCAGCTCGAGCAGCATTATGGCCGAGAGACGCTTCTTGGGATCGTGCTGCAGGCAGCAGTCGATGAACTCGTGGCCCTCCTGCGACAGCGTATCCGGCGCCTGCGGCTTCTCGCCCATGCCCACTTTGAACATGATTTGGAAATTTGAATCGAACTGTGCCCAGGGTCGCTGCAAGATGCAAGAGATAAACAACATATCAAATAATACTCAACACGGGTGATACCATCCATGATACTTTGGCACTGAGAGTAGTTTTCAATCAATCGATTAGTCAGTCTATTTTGCTGTTTGGTAATCAGTCAATCACTGAGTAACGCAGTCTATTACTCAGTCTCAGTCTATTAATCAATCTGCTATAAAGCAATTGCATCTATCAATCATTTTGTCACTCTATCAATCAGTCAATGAGAAACTGAGTCATCGTCGTTCCATTGCCCAACTCACTAAGCGGTCGCACTATTTGATCAATTGTTGTGCGATTGCTCATTCCGAATCTGAATAGTTTTGGTGGTCAACCAGTGCCGCTTATCTGCTTATCAGTAGCCCCCGAGCCCCGATACCCGCGCACTCACCTTGCCGGAGGCCATCTCGACCACAACACAGCCCACCGACCAGATATCGGCGGCGCGACCATGGCCATCGCTGTTCGTCTTGGTAAACACCTCTGGCGCCATGTAGGCCTGGGTGCCTACGTAGCCCTGCAGCTCGCCGGGCACCGTGGTGTGTGCCTGGATCTTGACCGCGGAGCCAAAGTCTCCCAGCTTGAGGCTGTTGCTGCCATCCACGAGGAAGATGTTCGCCGTCTTGATGTCCCGATGAACGATGCCGTGCTTGTGCAGCTCAGCGACGCCCGAGAGCAGCTGGGCCGTGAAGCGGCGCGAGAGCGCCTCGGGCAGGCTGCCCGTCACCTCCACCAGGGATTCGAGTGTGCCCTCTGAGCAGAGCTCCATGAAGATGAGCAGCTCCTCGCGGTGCACCTCGATGCCATAGTAGCGCACAAGGTTCTTGTGCTTAATGCCCTCGAGAATCTTCAGCTCCTCGGCGACATTCTTGAGGGCGCGTGTCTCACCCGGTTGAATGGCAATCTCCTTCATGGCCATCAGCTCCCCGGTGTTGTTATTGACCGCCGTGTAGACCTTGCCGAACCGTCCCTGGCCAATCTTGATGCCGCGATGCCAGCGGAAGTGCACGCTGCGTGCTCGGATTTGGACCTTGTCGCACGAGTTGAGCGCCTTCACCTGGCCAATGAGTCGACGTTCGCGCAGATGCTCCTCCAGATCTAGATCCAGCCGATTGACAGCATCGCGCACTCGCTCCTGCCGCGACGCCAGCGGTGTCGATGCCGAGCTGGGGCTGCTACCCTTGGAAATGGGCGGCGTCTGCGGCACTAGGAGACGCAGCTCCCCGTTGGCTGCGCCATGTGGCGCCTCCACAAAGTCGCCGCTGTCGACGGAACTGTAAGCAGCCGAGTTCTGCTGCAGCAGCTCCTCCTTCAGACTGAACTGGGGATGCAGCAGCTTGTTGTACTGCGGCGACTGCAGCGGCGGCGTATTGGGATTCACTATGACGCCCGCCGACATCGGGGTGCGAGTGGGTGTCCTCGATCGGCTGGTCGCTGGCGAGGATGTCTTGCGGGTGCGCGGCGATGCCTTCTTGCGCGCCACCTTCTCCGGCTCCGAGGTGATGCCTATCACGTGCGATATGCAGCGGTCCATTTGCTGCTTCAGCTCCTCGAACTGCCGATCGTCCAGATGCTGGGTGATCTGCAGATCACAGGCCAGCATTAGGAACTCCAAGCCTTGGGAGGCCCAGCGTGGGCGCATGCCACGGCCACGCTCACAGCGCTCCATGACGAACTGCATCCACATCTTGGCGAACGCAATGATGCCCAGGGCCAGATCGACCGTGTGCCCACTGTCCTTTTGGTCCATGATGCGCTGCTCGAACAGCCGTATCACGTCCTTGTGGTACTCGAAGCCGAACTTGTAGCCCTGGTGGAGAATCTCGCGCGTACGCGACAGCACCGCCAGCCGGTCCTGCTCGTCCAGCTCGAGCAGGTTGTTGATGCAGCAGCGCTGCTGCACGCCCTTGATGATGCCCGTCAGCTTGTTGCGCACCTCGAGCACATCCTGCTGCAGCAGCTTGAATGCGGCCTTCACATCCGAGCAGATGAAGTCGTGCTGCTGATTGGCCACGTCGTGCTCGTAGTGCTCCCGGTGGAAGTCCGTCGTCTCCACGTCCCGGCAGAAGGTCTTCGCAAAGAAGAGCACCTTGATGGAGCGCTCCCGCTCGACGGTCAGCAGCGCCTGCGTCTCGCGGCAAATGGTGAGCAGCTGCCACTTGAGCTCCTCGCTGTCGTTGCTGTGCGCCGTGCTGGCTATCTGTTCGTCCAGCTCCTCGGAGCGCTGCACCAGGCGCTTCGAAATGCTGCACAGCAACTTGCTGATGATGTTGCAGAATTTCTGGGAGGCAACCGTGTGCATGCCCTTGATCATGGGGCTGATCAGCTTGGTGAACATCCACTCCTTCTCAAGCACCGACTTCTGATTGGTCTCCGGCACGGCGACCAGCACCAGCTGGTCGATGTAGTCCATGTACAGCTCGAAGGTCTTGCGCACCGTCGCATCGTACTGATTGAGAATGTTGATGTAGCTGTCCAGCTCCGTCTCGTTCTCGGCCAGGGCTGTGGTAATGTGGCGCTGGTAGCGCTCGCGATGCGTCAAGGCCAGGGTTAAGCCTTCGCGCAGCTCCTTCATTAGCTGCTCCAGGCTGAGCGGATTGGGCCGCACCGGGCGCGTCTCGAGGCGCATGCGCAAGAACTCGTGCATGAACTGCAACGGGATGCCGCTGAGGAACACAAATGTGGGAATGTACGAGGGCAGATTGATCGACTGCGCCTCCTCGCTCCAGTAGCCGTAGGTGCGCAGCTCGATGATCTGCTCGCGGCTAATCTGCGGATCCATGCGCGGCACGTCCTGCTCAATGATCTCCGTATCCAGCTCAAAGTCCTCCAGATCCTCGGCGCCTGGCCGCTCCAGGGCAATGTGCGCCTTGTACAGCGCCACAGTGTGCAGCTGATGGAGGAAGGCCAACGACTTGGCCAATCCGCGGCACTTCAACACATTCTCGATGAACTTGCGATACAGCCCGGAGACCTGCTCGCCATCGTTGCTCGAGGTGCCCAGTGGCTCCACGCTGAAGATGTTGATGTCATGCATGGAGCCCTTGCGCAGCTGCCCGCCTGGCAGCTCGTTAGACAGCTGGCTGACCTCCGTCGAGGTGGATCTGCAAAGCATTAAAAAGATTAGCTCGGACGGCTCATCTTATGCTGTTGTGCACCTACTCATTGCTGCTAGAGCTTTCGCCTGGCACGTGGGTCGAATCGTTCAGCATGAACTGCACCCGGGCACAGGACATGTTGCCGCAGCCCCGGCGGGCCGCTACGCTGGGTGGCTTCGACGAGTCCAATGAATTGACCGCCGAGTCATCGTTGTCCACGCCTGAGGACGACGAGTTGCCACTGTCCGAGCCCATGTACGATGTCTGCACCGGCCAGGAGAACTTCTCGTCTTGCAGCCTATACAGGAATGAAGCCATTAGGTGTGTGTCTTACATTGGGAGCAACTGCCTGACTAGGACATACCCCATACTATTCATATTCTCTTACTTATGCACGTATTAATCGATATCACTGTGTTATCGATATTATAAGGACTAGGCGAGTGCCTGGCTATAACTCACAGATCAGAGATTGAGCCAGGATATGGTATACACGAGTTTAGGGACTCCCTAGAGACGGACATACAAACACAGACAAAACTAACTTCTCCTCTCCTCCCTTTCCTCACCGTGCCAGAATCCGGCCGAGAATGCTCAGCTTGAGCTTGTTCTGCTTGGTAATATTGTACCACAGGCACATGGCCTTGATGCGACCCACAAAGCTCTGCGACTTGTATATGGGATGCAGTGCACCCATGGCCTGGGACGACGGGTAAAGAGCCTCGGCTGCCTCCAGACGCGTCAGCAAGTCCTCGACCTCACGCAGCGCCAGCTCCTGCCGCTCCATGCAATCCTTACAGTACAGCGACATGCAGCCTTGGCACAGTTTGCTGGGCAAGGGAGCTGTCAAGTGGAGAAGACAATCAGAGATGTGACGGATTTATGGTTAGCTAATCTTCACTCACAGCTGGCGTTGGAATTGGCGTCCGAGTGTATGCCACTGTCCAAGCTGAGCAGGCTGGGCTCGCGCCTGTACGGCGGCTGGAACTTGTAGCTGATGATCTGATGCAGCAGATCGGAGACGCCCTGACGAGCATCGTATAGATATTTGTCCTGCTGCTCGACGGTGCGATCGGCCTGCCAGGCCTGCAGCTCCAGCCAGATGAGATCCTTCAGCTCCGTTTGCCACGTGTGCTCCTCCTGCGACAGCTTGCCATCCTGCCTATCCACGCTGCCAAGCTTGATCAGATTGGCGAACGTCTCGTGGAATTCCTTGCGCTTGCTGAGACCTGGCGTCGGCTTGCCGTCCATCCGCAGCGCCGGCAGCTGGGGCGTAAAAGCCAGCGGCGGCGCCGACGATCGACATCCGATGGGCCGCGAGGACACACAGCGATAGCGATTGCAGCTCTCCACCACCTTGGAGGCGATGCGTAAGGGCACGCCAGC